AAAGAGGGGCAAAGGGGGCAGGGAAGGGCCCCGAGTGGCAGTCAGGCCTCTAGCACTGACCAGCCTACCTGACATAACAGAGGCTTGCCAGCGAACAAGGCGCTCGCCAGCCTGCCCGAGGACAAACACAGCAAGTGCAGGGGGTCCTTTTCAATGAGGCTTTGGTTCCTGAGAGCTTAGCCAGCCCTGCGCTCCCGAGGACAGCCCTGGGCTTGACTCCTCCCAGCAATTCCACAGAGTTATTTCCAGGAACAAAGGGAGGCTCTGCAGCAGCGGGTACCTCCTCAGGGCCACACGACCACCACCACCTGCTAAGCCACTCAGACCCGTACCGCCTGGGTGTGTCCAGTCCTGGAACTGGTTTGATAAACAGGCCTAGGCCAGCCCGCAAGGTATGCAAAGCCGGGGCCAGGTGCCCTTGAGTGCCTCCCCCCACGCAGCCTCAGTTTCCCTCTCTGCCTGTCAAAAGGGCCCGGTCTGAGATGGAAAGGATTTAGCAGCCCAGTGCCAAGTAGACACCAGGTCTTCCGCCCGCGATAGGAAGGGGTGGGAAGAGTATCCCCTCCCCATTCCAGTGGGGTAACTCCTGGCTCCAAGGCCCTGCCCAGATGGGAAAGGCCCCACTTGGAGTGGGGCCTTGGAGTCTCTAATTAGAGCTCGGTTACTATGGGAACAGGGTTTTCTTCGGGATTTTTCTTTTCATCAACAGCACCACAAAAAACCTGAGTCACAGGCCCACAGGAGCCCTGAGGAGGCAGGAGATGCGGGGGCTCAACAGAGCCCATGGGCACATCCCCCCGACCCGCTCCAGAGAGCACAACTGAGACACCGGGCCCCGGCGTGTCCCCCCACATCGTGGCTCTCCCCATCTCGAGCCTCTGAGCCATCCTGTACAGGGGCTTGGAGGGAGCACCCCCTCCCTGACAACACACTTCATGATCCCCATCCCCCTCAGCCTTAGCAGTCCATATATTCCCCTGGCTTGTTCAAATCAGGCACTCTCCACCACCCCCACTCAGTTTAAGGGAGGGGGCCCAGAAGCATCTGTGGCCTCACCTCACCTCCCCTCTTCCCAGTCAGCTCTTGCCACTACCTGACCACTTTAAATCCCTACTCCGTCCTTACACAAGCTGTTCCCTGGGCCTGAAATGCCCTGCCTCATCAGGAGAACTCTTACACATCCTGCAAAGCCCAGCTTGACCAGCCCTTTCTCAGCCAGCCAGCCTCACCTTTGAGCGGCTGGGACTGGGCACTTCCTGAGCATGGAGTCCCCAGGGCACAGCTGGCCAGATGCAAAGAGGCTGTGAGACCAGGTGGGAAATGTGGTGAGGCTCTGCCCAGGGTCTGGCTGGAGCCCAGGGCAGGTGAGGCTCCAAAGTAGCATGAGTACTGCTCACTCAGTGGCCCTGCCATCCTCCATCCCTGCCCAAGCCACGTCCCCACCTGTGTGGTCACAGCTACAGCATTTCCCAGGACCTGGGGTAGACACGTGCCATCTGCCTGGTCACATCAGCTCTTGGGACCCCCACTCCCTGTGGCCGACCCTGCCTCTAATGTAGGCCGTGATGGCCTCCTCCCAGAAATACAGTCTGGCTGGAAAGAATGTGCCCAGGGCAGCCCTGGGCGAGCCCTTTACAAATGGGGAAACTGAGGCCAGAGAGCAGGCTGCAGCTTCAGCAGGGAGCACCCCACCCCCGCCAGGCCCGGCCTGTGCAGGCCTACGGGGATGATTCACTTCCCCCAGCCAGCTAAACCCAGGATGCTCCTCCTTCCTGGCTGGTGCTTCCCAACATGTGTCGGAAGCACAGCTGAAGCCTCCTTGCCACGCAGGCCTGTCCAAAATGGCCTCTGCAGACACACCCCCCCAAGCCCATGCCGGCTCCAGGTCCTCTGGTCATCCTCCACCCCACAAAGAAGACCCGAGGTCAGCCAACATCAGAACGAGATGAGGACCCCAAAATCTGAGGCCAATGTAGCTCCAATCTTTGCTCCCAAATCTCCCTTCCCTTTAAACGCACAGATGAGCCAGCAGCTCTCCTGGTGCAATTTCCGTCTCCTCCTGCCCCATCAGCTTGAATCACACCATGATGCCACCAACGAGCTTTACTAGAAAGGAGAGGGCACCTGCCCAGGCTCACCAGTGCCTGCCAGAAACACCCCCAGGATCTCTCTGCTCTTTTCTGGCGCCAAGGGCTAGGGCCAGGGCCACGCATTCCTGCCACACCTTCCCCAGGGCAGGTGCTAGATGCAGCCCAGCAAGCATGGAGCATGCCTGCATTGATGAGCACCCAACCTAGGTCCTGTGGCCCTGCCGGCTGTTCCAGTCCCATCTACCAACCTCACAAGCTTCTGTTCAGCCACCCTGGGCTTTCTGCTCCTTCCCGCATCGGGGCCTTTGCACAAGCTGTTCCCTGTACCTGCAACACTGTTCCACACACCTGATACATGCTACCTTCTATTCATCCTCAGGTCAGGTCAAGTGTCCTCCTCAGAAAGGGACCTCCCCCATCTAATCTGGGACCCTCATGTACTTCCTGGACCCCCAGACCTTTGCTTGACACCTCTGGGATGTTCCTCATGTCCCAACGAGAACATTGGGCCCAGCAGGGAAGGATCCAGGAGATGCCCATGTGCTCACCACTCAGGCCTCAGCATGCCTCACTTGATAGGGGCTCAGTGTTTGCTGAATAGGTGGGGAGTCCTGCCCCACCTCGTACTGTGTGAGACTGGAAAGGGGAGGACCTGTGCCCCAGAGGCTGGGAGGCATCAGGGGGTCCAGATAAGAGCTCGTTCTGGAGTCAAACCCAGTTCTTCATGCTGCTTACTTGCTGTGTGATCTTGGGCACATGGCTGCTCCTCTCTGGGCCTAAACCTGCCCATCTGCAGGATGGAGGAAATACCACCCACTTCAATCAGCACACTCGGGTAGGAAACTGCCACCGGGCTGCAACCTCCTTGGCAGAGCCGGGTCAGGAGGGTGGCCGTCAGAAGGAAGGTGGGGGGGAGGGGGCTGGGCAATGACTGGGCTCCCATCCAGCTGTCTCCAGAGGCTGGGGTCCAACTTCCCGGCTGGGGAGCCAGACACCCACAGGTTCCCCCAAAGGAGGGGCGAGGGCGCCAGAAGGAAGAGAAGCCGCCTACGGGGAGAATCTAAGAAGGGAAAGAGGAGGGTTCACTTCTGGCGCGCAGGCCAGTAGGAAATCGCCAGGCCAGCGGGAGGCCCCGGGAGAGGACGCATCGAGTTGCAGCCAGTTGTTCCAGGCGGGAGTCTTGGGGGTGGGTTCAACCGAGGGTAGGGGGGGCTTCCCGACGGTGCCGGGCTGGGGTCTCCGGGCTCAGGCTGAGACCGCTCTCTGGCTCCCGCAGAGCAGAGGGTACCGGCCAGGAGACGCGCGCGGGGCGGGGTGCCTGGCGGAGCGCCATCCACGCCACGCTGTCCGGGGGCTGGGGCGCGAGCAGAGAGGCCACCTTCTGGGGCGGCTTCGGACGGGGCACTGGGCCTAGGGGCGGCGCGGGGGGTCCTCAGCAGGGGGGAACCCGCAGAAAGTCGATTCCTTCCCCCGCCCGGCCGCATCTGGTTTTCCCATCTGCAGAGACGGAGCAGGACAAAGGGGGCGAGGGAGGGCCTTATCGACGAGCCCGCCCCCCTGCTCACAAAGGCCGCGGCCTCGAGCGCGGGGCGGAAGCGGGAGGAGGGGCTGGGGGGGGAAGGGCAGACACTCTGGGCACCCCCCTCCAGCAGAGGCCAACCCCTCCCAGCAGCCAGCGGAGGTGGAGAAAGGCCCGGAGGGAGGGGAGGTGGAAGCGCACCCTGCGGAGATCAAAGGCTACCCCCATCCCGCCCGCGAAAGGCGGCCTTCATGGAGCGGGGGCGCGCCCCGCGCCTGTTGCGACCCCTAGTCTCCGCCCTGGAGCCAAAGGCCCACTGCCGGGGGGAGGGGCACGAGGAAACAGGCGAGGGGCGTCCCCTCCCCACGGGCTAGGCCCACGGATGCGAGGGAGGGATCTGCGCGCGTAGGGAGGACCCAGATCAGGCCGAGGGTTCGGAGGGTGGCACAAGGGGCGGCGTCTAATCGCGGCCTAGGAGCCCCAACCTCAAGGCGGAGTGGGGGTTATGCAGCGGCACCCAAGGATGGGCAAAGCCCCACCCCTCGCCCTTTCCTGGGGATCGGAGCGCAGGTCCCGCGGCGGGGTGGGGTGGCCCGCGCGCCCAGCGGGGGCGCACCGGGCGTCGCTCAGGATTGCAGCGGCGCCGCGGGCGAGAAAGGGCGGGAGGCTGCGGGGACTGGGGTGGGGTTCGCTTTGTGCATGGCCCAGAGAGGCGGGGGACGGCGTCCCCACTCACCCTGGCGCGTGGACACGTTCCTCTCGTTGGCCGCCTGCAGCACGACCTGGGCGCAGCTCTGTTCCAGGGCGAAGAGCTCGTCCTTGCCCACCTTGGTGGCCTTGCCCGCCTTGAGCGTGCCGCTGGGCCCCGACGGCGCCAGGTAGCGGCCTTCGCAGTCGCGGAAGGCCACCTTGCCGGAGCGGAACTCGAGCGTGTAGCCGGTGGCGGGCTCGGGGTGCGCCACTAGGCGCCCGTCGTGGCGCAGGAAGCGGTGGTCGGCCGTCTGCAAGCTGTAGCGCTGGTCCTGGAAGGCCAGCGTGATGAGCGAGTCGACGCCCCAGGGCACGTCGCGGTCCACTGCGATCTCGTCGGCCGGCCGCGCGCTCAGGTGCGCGTAGCGCTTGCGGGCCAGGCTGTAGATGGTGACCTGGGGGTGCATGGCGATGTGCACACTCCACTTCTCGGCCGGCGACACGGTCTGAGCGAAGCACGACAGGCGGTCCTCGGTGCCGCCAAAGTAGCGCCGGTGCGCCTCAGACTGCAGTGACCAGCGGCCGTCGTCGTGCGCCACGATGAGAAAGCGGCAGTCGGCACTGGGCACCTCGTGTTCGCAGGTCACGTTGCCATCCTTGTCCGCCGCCAGGTAGCGGCCCAGGTGGCTGCGCAGGCACACGGCTGCGCTGCCCGCCTCGTCGGGCGGCTGTTCCAGCGTCCAGATCTGCTTCTTCTTCAGGCTGCTGGCCGACGCATTCACCTTGAACCCGAACGTCTCGGCCGTCAGGTACTTGTTGCTGCAGTTAATGAGACCGAACTGGATCTGCAGGGCCTCGGCCGTGCCGTTGGCGGTCATGGTGGCGGCGGGCGGGAGGCCGGCGCGGCCCGGGAGGTCGGTGGCGGGTCCCAGCGGCGGCGCCCTGCTCCTTTGTTCAGTTGCCGCGGCCGTGCGCTCACCCTCAGCAGCGCTTTACAAAGCCGGCCCGTGGCGCCCGAGCCTCTTTATAGGCAGGGTGACGTCAGCGTCGCGAGGTCCCGCCCCCGCCCCGCCCCGGGGCTGGCCGAGGAGGGGGCACCGGGGCCCGGGGAGCGAGCTGAGTCGCGCAGGGTCCCGGAGGGGCGCGGGTGGGGGCTGGGCTCGCCGCGTTCCCTGCTCGGCCGGCCTCTGCAGTCCCCCCTCTTCGGGCCGCCGCCCCCTCCCCGCCAATGCCAAGCCCTCGCCCTCGCAGCACCGCAGCCTGAGGACTCACCCAGAGCACGGGACCCCTCGGAGGCCCCGCACCCCAAGCCCAGCCGGGAGGAAGGCCGAGCCAGGTTTGAGGTTGTGATAGAGACCGCAAGACCACAGAGCACATCAGTACTAGGGCGGAGCGGCCTGGAGGCTCCTCAGAGGAGGTGGCTTTAGAGCAGAGCCTTGAAGGAGCTGAGAGGGGACCCTCCAAGGGCCTGTGGGCGGAAGAGTGGGGGGCAGGCCAGGAGCTGGGGAGGGGCCTGCAGACCCCAACTCACCCAACCCAGGCCTTGCAGCCTCCAGAGCGGGGGCTGGGGTTCCCCGAGGCTTCCCTCCCAGGACACTGCCCTGAAAGCCACCCAGACCCTTCCCTGTGGCCCAGGCACCCAGCCGGGCTGGCCCAAATAGGTCTCCGTGGTAGTGGCTGAGACAAGTGGCAGTGTGTCCACTCTGAGGATGCAGAAGCCACAGGGTTCTGGTGAGGTTCTCCAGGCATAGAGTGAGCAGCGTGCCCTTTTACTGAGCAGGTCAGAGACGAGCTCCGGCTCAGGCAGTACAGCCCCGAGGGGTGGAACCCAGGGGCCAGCGTGCCTCCCACTTGATACCCACCCCCAGGTCCCCACTGCATTGGACGCAGAGCCTGGCACACAGGAAGGGGCGACGCTGGCTACAGCCCTCCTTTAGGACCTCAGCTCTCCATCCTCCTCCGTCAACGTGGATATTCCCTACAGATGCCCACCCCTGCCCCTGTAGAGGAACACTTCCCTTTTCTGAGCATCTCCAAAGGCCAAGACTTTTGCTGGGACATTCCCCACATGCCAAGCAGGCCCCTGGAATGCCAGCATGACCACAGGCTGCCCACAAGGTCTCGAGGCCAAAGGCAGAGGGCACTGAACTAGCTCCTGGGCTGGTTGGTCTGTGCCTGTGGCTCCCCCCAGGCAACCTCCTCCAGGGATTTTTATCTTTCAGGGTAATTTTGTGTTACTTTCCCATCATTTGGGTCAAATGGGTTTACTGGCAGGTCCTTGAGCCCCAGGCAGGCACTGCCCACAGCATCCCCTCCCACAAAGCTCACCTCTGGAGAGATGAGAAATCAAGTGTCTCTTTTTGAGGTCATCTAATAGACTTGAAACCCAGGGTCTCGCTGGCTGTGTGACTGTAGGCAAGTCACTTAAACCTCTCTGAGCCTGTTTCACCTTTTGTAGAAGAAATTCAAATCCCCCATCTCAGGGTTGTCTGAGAGTCCCTGAGGGCATGGAGCTCAGCAGACACGGTCCCTGGCCACCCTCAGAACCCATTCCAGTCCCCAGAAAGCCCTAGTAAGGGAGACCCCAACCCTCTGGCCAACTACCAAGGCTCAGAGGAGAGGGAGCTGAATAACTGAAGGTTGGGGGCGGGGTCCATGCTGGCAGCAGGACTGGAGTCTGCTGAGACGTGCCTGCTGGGATGGGGGCTGGATGGCATCTCCCTCCTGGCTCTGCAGCTCCCCATTCTGACCCGAGCGAGTCCCCCTCCTACAACTTAGCAGCATGGAGGCCAGGAAGGAGGCTGGGGTTGGGGGCTCCTGCCTCTCAGTCAGGCCAGGAGTGGGAGCGGGTCCAGGCCTTCCCAGGTGATGCTTTTGGCAGAAAGACTGGTGAGCCCGGCTGGGTATGGTGGCAGCCAGGGTTCCTGCATCGGGCTTCCTGGACTCAAATGCACATCCCTGGTTCGTGGTTTTCCCATCTCTAAAAAGGGCATAATGATAGCACCTGCCCCAGGAGAGAAGCTGAGAGGACAGAAGGCGCTGTGAACGGGACTGAGGGGGCTCCCGGGACGTGGCATTCGGTTTTCAAACCAGGAAGGTCTTGGGCAAATGGAGACAAGTTGGTGACTCCACACATCAGGCACCTAAAAAACAGTGCCTGGCACGTGGTCAGTGCTCATAAATGCCAGCTGGTCCTGGGAACTGTCCTGGGGATGGGCCAGACTCCGTCCAGCCCCCAGGGTCACCAGGAATCCCCAGGACCCTAGTCCCGTAGTCAGAGCAATGGTGAAGTACAAAGCTTTAGGATCAGTCGGCCAGGAGCGTGAGCCTTGTGCCGGTTTGCTGAATAAATTAAAATCAAATGGAGCAGTGTGGGGGAGGGCACATAGAAAGGGGACCTTGGATTTCCCTACAGATGAGGGCAGTCCAGGTCGAGTGAACAACATAGAGCCTGAAGTGTTGGGGAAAATCAGGTTAGTCCTGAGACTGGGGGCAAGGGGTGGTGTAGGGGTGAGTATATGAAGAGCTGAGGTTCGTTTCAATAGGCGTGGAGCTAAATTAGTATATTTAATTTTTTTCTGAACAGACAATATATTCACATGGTTCAAATCTCCCAAACCCTAAAAAGGCTTTTGTCCTCCCCCTCCCCCCATTCCCACCCACTACCTCCATGCCTGCTGTTAGATTGTCTCCCTTTCCATGAACTTCAAAGACAAGCAAACCTGCATCTGTATTCGTGTAAATCCCTACATCTTTAAACAGTATTTTCAATCCTGCTTTCTTACTTGCATCTGAACCCAGTCTCTGCTTCAGTACCTGAGTGCCTTCCTTGTTCTCTTTCACAGCTGTGTAATGTTCCACTGCATGAATGTGCCATTTATTTAACTGCTGCCATGTGGATGGACACTTGGGTTGTTGCTATTGATGCCCTGCTTTGGCCAGAACCTCCTCCCAAGAGGGATGCCCTCAACCACAAACCAACATGTGTTCATGTTTCTCTTTACCCAGCAGGCACCATCTAAAAAATTAAGGCTGTCCAGTCTTGGCTTGAATGCCTCTGGTGATGGGGAGCTCACTCTGTCCTCTGTCCAAAGCCAATATGGGTGATACGTATTTGCCTTGTTCTAGCTTGGGAGGAGATTGGGGGGGTGAGGGAGCCCTGGCTCACAGCAGCTGCTGGGAAAGAGGGGTCTCCTGTGTACAGGGAAAACTACCAGATGGCTGAGTCTCATGAGCATAGATCTTTGGATGAGGGCAGAGGGAAGCATCTCAGTTTTTTTTTAAATTATTATGATGATTAATTATTGCCGGAAAGCCAATATAGGAACAAAATCTTAGGTCAGTTTGGCAAAACAGCAATTTCAAAACTCCTTCCCTGCTCTGCACCCATGTTCCCGCCTCTTCCATTCCCCGAGTCTCAGTTACACTGGGCACTTCTGTGTCCAGTGCAGTCACATGGTCCTGTCTGCAGGCTCCACCTTGGGTCCCTCTGGGGAAGGACAGGAACACGGACGCTGTGTCCCTGGGCCCCACGGGAACCCAGGCGCCACCTGAGCTGCCCGGAACAAGGGCATGGCACGGGGAGAACGGAGGTGCTTGGCTGGGGCCAGGCCTGAGCCGCTCCCAGGCTGGCCGCCGGGCGCCCTCCTGCCTGGTCTGGGCAGGAAAATGAGGCCACCAGGAAGGGCTGCTCAGCTAGCCCTGAACCCAGTTCCCCGAGTGAGGATTCTGAGCCACAAAGACTCAGACTCCTCCCCCGTCCAGCAGGCTTGGAGAATTCCCTGTGCCCACCCACCACTGATGGTCAGGGGCTTCCTGAAATGACATCCTGGGATGCATCCCAGCACAAAAGCCAAGGAGCAGAAGCTGGAGTCAGGAGGCCTTGACTTGGCTCCCGGCTCTGACACACACTTGCCATGGGACCTTTGACAGGTTACTTCACCCTCAGTTTCCTCACCTGTCAAATGGAAATAATAATACATGCAGAGTTCCTCATGGACAACACAGAGGTAGGTATAAAAACGGCACAGTGTTTGTAAAAGCAACAAGCAAATGTCTTTACCTGTCAGAAACACTCCCTAAAGGAACCTCCCTGGCGGGCCAGTGGTCAGGACTTGGCACTTTCACTGCTGAGGGCCCGGGTTTGATCCCTGGTCAGGGAACTAAGTTCCCTCAAGCCATGAAAAAGAACTCCCTATGAAATGACATGATGCCTGGGTTTTGCCTTAAACCATTCCAGACAGGGTGGTGGGCACATGGGGTTGCATTCCGTGAGTCTCTCTATTTTTATTTTTTGGCCATGCCTCGTGGCCCTGACCAGGGATCACACCCGGGCCCTTGGCAGTGAAAGTGCGGAGTCCTAACAACGGGACCGCCAGGGAATTCCCGAGTCTCTCTACTTTAATAAATGTTTGGACATTTCCATGATAAAAAGTTTTGGACAAGGACACTAAAAATAAAAAATAAAATACCCCAGTCCTCCCTTCCCCCAAAAAAAGATAGTTGTGGTGGGGAATAGATAGGATGTAATGATTGTGCCAGCAGTGACGGCACGAGAAGAGACAACATACTGTGTTTTTTTATGTCTGCCTGAACATGTTCATAACAATAATGAACCCTGACATTCTGACCCTGCATCTTCGCCTGTGCCTTAGTCCTGTCTCCTGTGTGTGCTGTTTCGTTGTGTTTGGACCTCATCCTGCCAGCCCTCTCTGTACCTTTATTCAGGAATGTATTATGTAGGTAGAGATGGAGAGGTGATAGGTAGATGATAGATGATAGATAGGAGATATTGATAGACATTTAGATAGAGAAGTGCCTAGCTTTATTTCTGAGGGTTTTGTTAATTTGGCTTTTTTTTTTTTTTTTTTTTTTGCTCTGCATCTTACTTACATCCCATGACGACTTGGCCCAGTGAATGCCCCCCGCCCCCTCCATCCCCAGGGCTGTTTCCACCCCATTCTCTCTGGCATGTGGAAGGTCATCAGATTCCTACTAGGCTGTCACATTGACCTGACGTTCCAGGCTTGATCCCAGGGGCAGATGCCTGCCTGGACTAGCTGGGCCCTGACCTGTGCCTGTCCCGGAGCTGAGCCCTCTCACCTGGGCTGGGGCAAAGCTGCGCTGCCCAGGGTCTCCGGCACCTCGGGCTCCCCATGGCTCCTCCTCGAGGAAATCTTCCCAAGCCCCACTTCTCCCAGCCGCCGAGATCCGGGCCCCAGCTCCCACCGCTCCTGGGGTCACTGGTGCTGGGCTCCAGTTGGGAGGCGGGCATTAAACGACTCACAATCACAGGCGCTGCAGGCACTGTGCCGAGGGCTTTATATGCTTTAACTTTCCGACAACCGGGTGTCATGCCCACTTCACGAATGAGGAGAAGGAGCCTGAGCGGCGGAAGAAACACAACCAAACAGAAAGGAGATTGGTGCCTGCAGGGGCCGGGGCCCGGGGAACGGGGAGCGGCTGCTTAATGGGGACGGAGTTCCTTTGGGGGGCGGGGGGGGACGACAGTGTTTCGGAACTAAGTAGAGGGACTTCCCCGGCGGTCCAGTGGCTAAGACTCCACGCTTCCACTGCACGGGGCGAGGGTTCGATCCCTGGTCGGGGAGCTAAGATCCGACATGCTGTGCAGCACAACCAAAAAACTTTAAAAATTAAAAAAAAAAGAGAACTAAGTAGAGGTGGTGATTGCACAACATTGTGAATGTATGTACTAAATGCCACAGGATTGTGTGCTTTAAATTTTTATGTTGTGTGAACTTTACCCCAACTTAAAAAACATCAATCAATCTTGGGGGAAAAAAGCACGTAAGCAAGTCACGCAGCTAGGAGTGACAAAGTCAAGCCTTAGACTGTCTCCCATCGCCCCCCGCCCCGCCTCCAGCACCTCCCACTCCCTGCTGGGGCTCCCCCTTCATACCAGCTTTGCAGTCTCACACCCTGTCTTTTGCCTGCCAGGATCTCAACGCTAGAAACCTCCTGTCACACCTGACCAGGGCTGCCGGCTTTCAGGGCATGGGCCCTGCACTTGGTCTTGACTGTTGTCCAGGGACCAGGGTTTGAGGCCCCTCGAAGCTTCAGTTCCTCGTCTGCAAAAGGACAGGATGTGACATCCTGGGAGTTTCCCGCCAGCATCACTTAGAGCCGTGAACAGGGGGCTCCCCGTCTTCTCTGAGCCTCACTTTCCCTTCTCTCAAAAGGAGGTAAGTGTGTCCCAGGCATGTGTAAGAGGCCAGAACGGCCATCCACGTTGCAGATGCACAGATGTCAACGGCCCAGCCCCCATAGATGACCGGCCTCGGGGCCCAGAGCCTGTGAATGGTGTCTTTGTTGTTCTGCCCCTGTGGCCCCTCGAGGCAGCCTGGTACGGCCTGCATCCCTGCATCCCTCGCATCCCTCACGAGTGCCCTAAGTGGGAGTAACCGATGGACAGCTGTGCCTTCCAGGGCCACGGGCCACACCCCAGCACTGTCGGGTCAGAGCCAAGGAGGGCAGGACCAGCTGTCACCCCATCTCCAGAAACATCTCTGCCAATAGGGGTTCAGGGCCGCCAGGTTACACGTAGGGAAACTGTGGCCTGGACAGAACAGCGAGGCTCTGGTCCAGCTTTTAGGAGGGACATACAGCTCTCAGGGGCCCAGTCTGTGGCTCTTCTCAGATTTGCCAAGAGATCTGTGACACCCCCTCCTGCCCCTAAATTGTAACCCTTCTAAGTCAGGAACCAAACCTGTGGGTGCCCACGGCGTGGCCCACGTAGTGAGCTGTCCTGGGCGGTGGGGGAGACCCCAGAGTTAACCGTGAGGTCCAGGAGGGCCCCCAGGAGGAAGTGGTGGCCACGCTGGGTGAATAGGAATTCAGCAGGGCAGAGCCAGGCTGGCTGGAGCAAAGGTACAGAGGCTGACCTGCCCCGTGTCTGTTACCAAAAACGTGTCCCTACAAAGCATTTCTTTTCTGTCGTCCTGGACCAGGAAGCCCCGAGGGGAAGGCCTGGATTGGCCTCAGCGGGCAGCTCAGAGGCCGCACCTGGCCATCCACCTGACAGTGTGGCAGGTGCTGGACCAGCTCTGAGCCCCGAGTGTGTTTTGTGAAGTGAGGCTGTGGCGGCAGTTCCTTGGCAAGTGCCTGGCTAATTAAGAGGGCATTAGCACCCTGGGCAGAAGCCCTCTCCTGCCAAGGCATCCTTGCCAGGAGCAGGGCCGATTCCCTGGCCGTGCCAGGCCTCGGCTAAGCCCCACCTGGCCGCCACCCCACTCCTGCTCCTCAGGGCCTGCGGCCGACCTTCGGGGTCCCCCCGCCCCTCTACCGGTGCCCGTGAACCTCCACAGCACAGGCCGGCCTCTGGCCTCAGGCCTCAGGCCCCGTGTGTCAAATGGTGTGTTCATCCACCCTCCCCGAGCCCGCACGGAACCCTTGCTACGTAACGCCCGTAAGTCCAGGGGCATCACGGTCACCTGCGAGGAGCACGGTGCCCGCTCTTCCCCCACCCAGCGGGCTCTGAGCGCTATTCTGATTGACTTCTGACGCCTGGGCGGGGAGAAAGAGTGACGAGTACCTCCACAGGGACGGCAGCCTCGCCCGCCTCCTCCATTACCCCCAACTCATCCACTGGGGCATACTGGCAGCTTCCTCCACGGCAAAGCTGGCCCCGCCTGCCCCGCAGCTTAAAGCTCTCTCAAGGCTCCCCAGTGCCCAGAGCCCTTGGTGGTCCAGCCTCTGTCCATCTCTCCTGCCTCGCTCTCCTCCTCTCCCTGTTCTCCACCTGCAAACCCCTGCTCGTGCAAAAGACCCACCTCAAACATCCCCCATCTCCTCTGGGGAGGCCCCCAGTGTGTGTGAGGGAAACTCTGGCCCTGTTCCCGCAGGTCCGAGCGTCCCAGGGGTCAAGGCAGGCATCTTTATGCAGTGATGGAAGTGTTCTGGACCTGCTCTGTCCAATACGGGAGGCTCAGGTCACACATGGGGCTGCGGAGCATTTGAAACGTGGCTGGTGTGACCGAGGAACCTTTCATTTTGCTTCACTGTGCTTCGCTTACGTGTAAGAAGCGCAGGTCCGGGCACTTCTGCTGCAGCCTGGGCAGCCCGCGCCGCCCCCCCCCCCCCCCCCCCCCCCCTAGTGGCCAGAGCAGAGTTTGGAGCTCGGAGGGATATCCCACGAGTTGACAGATGTGACAACAAGCGTCCAGTGCCTCGGCCAGTTGTTGGTGACTTGCCTCTTTTGCCCTCCCCCCTCACCGGCGGCCAGGGCTGTGTCTCCCCACCCCCGACTCCAGTGCCACAGCTGCAGCACCCACGTCAGGCCCTGCAACATGCAACAAACCCCTGACACGTGCATCCCTGAGGCCCACCCAGCAGCCAGGCAGCCCCAAGCAAGACAGAGGGACCCAGAGGCAGGAGGGGTGGTGCAGCCCGGACACAAGACCCTCCCTCACCTTCCCTGCTGCCCAGGCCTTTCTTGGCTCAATCCTCCGCGGCCCGGGGACCCTCCCCGACTCCAGACCCCGACAGTTCCACAAGTGGGCACATGGCCTCCGACCAGCACTCTGGCTGCTTCCCCGAAAGAACCTGGGGCGAATCTGCATAGCATTTCGGGAGCGCCAGCTGTCTGGGGAATTCCAAATGCTCAGACGGGGAAGGGGAACCTTTCACTATGTGCCTGACTCAGGGGTCCTGCCAGCCCCTCTCTACCCCACCCGATGCATGTCCAGCCCCTCCATGGAGCCCACCTGCTCTCCTCAACCTGGGGTCTCCTCCCAGGGCCTCCGTGTACAGCTGGGGTCGGGGGAGAGCCAACTCAAGCCCACTTAGACAAGCCCTGTGCCCCCGCTTGGGGGCTGTGTCAGCCTGGAGGAAAAGAGGCTTTTATTCTTGCCAAAAGCCACAGCCCCCAGCCAGGGCACTTTTTAGCCACCCAGAGGAGCACCTCTTTCTAATTCACACAAAGGCTCTATGCAGGCCAGCAGGATTCTGTCCTCACCCATCTCTCCCTAGGCCATTCATGGATCCCTTTGGAAACACTGTCTTTCAGTCATGAAATCTTCACGGAAAAAAACCACACAAACAACCAACCAAAAAAATTGGGAGTTCCCTGGTGGCCTAGTGGTTAGTTTCCGGGCTTTCACTACCGTGGCCCAGGTTCAGTCCCTGGTCGAGGAACTGAGATCCTGCAAGCCTTGCAGGGTGGCCAAAAAAAAGAAAGAGGGAAAGAAACTTGACTCAACTGGATAAATATCAATAACAAGTCCAGTAGTTATGGCAAGAAATAAGAAGCCCTGAAGAGGGGAGTTTCCTGGGTTGGGTAATTCTGATAATAGCTGGGAAAGGACCCTGGAACTTCCCCTACTCCTCTCTCTACCATCCTTACTGAGTCAGCTTTACTCTCAGGCTGAGCCCCTCAGAGTCACAAAATGGCTACCAGGGTTCCAGACATCACATCTCCCCAGCATCATCGAAACTAGGCTTTTGACAAACCCCTTCTCAGTATCATGTTTTTAAATGCATAAGACAGAATACGTAGCATTACAAAGGAAGCCAATTACATTCAAATTGTCAACCTATTGTTTACTTGTGATGTGCTAATATGGACTTTCTTTTAATACATTAAATAATACCTAGTGGTGGGTTTAAGAACTACCACTACTTGAGTCCAAACGACATTCTGAAATTTCTGCAATAGAGGTACTATGTTCTGAAACCCTCGATGACAGTGTTGGTGGCAAAGCCACAGGCCCTTCTGGGGTTTGCTGTTCACAATCCTAAAGGAGGGAAATGCTGAACTCAGTCAGTGATGATCAGGATGTGATTGTTTTCTCATCCGAGTTCAGAGACTCCAGACTCCCTAACTCCAGCAGCTCTCTGTGGAAGGCTGTTTTTATAAATAGAAGAGACCTTTCCCAGAGCCCTCCTGCAGACCTTCCCTCACTTCTCTTAGCCAAGCTGACAACGTGCTTCTCCCCAAATCCACACCCCATAGAATGACTATATGGTCCAGCAATTCGACTTCTGGGTATAAGCGCCGTAGAACTGAACGCAGGGACCTGAACAGGTACCTGCACACCCATGTTCACAGCACTGTTTATTCACAGTAGCCAGAAAGTGGAAGGAACCCAAGTGACCATTGACAGCTTTTTTTTGTTTGTTTTTTGGCCACGCTGAGTGGCTTGTGGGATCTTAGTTCCCTGACCAGGGATCCAACTCGTGCCCCCAGCAGTGGAAGCGTGGAGTCTTAACCAGTGGACCACCAGGGAAGTCCCACTGACAGCTGAGTAGATAAACGAAATGTGGTCCATCATACAATGAAATGTCATCTAGCCTTAAAAAGGAATGAAATTATGAGACCTGCTACAACGGGAATGGACCTTGAGGACAGTATGCTCAGTGAACACGAAAGGACAAATACTGTAGGATTCTGCTTATATGAGGTCCCTGGAGGAGCCACGCGCAGAGAGACAGAAGGTGGAATGGTGGTGGCCGGGGGTTGAGTGAGGGGGAAAAAATAAAACAAAGAGAACTTACTGCTGCCTAACCTTGTGACTTTCTCTGACGCCGCAGTAAGGAAGATGGCAAAGTTCTGGAACAGGACCGACACGCAGGTGGATGGAATAGAAGATTGAGCCCAATTGACTTATCCAGTCATTTGATTTTCACCAAAGGTGCCAAAGAAATAGAGGTCGGCACACGGATGGGGCAGCGGTCTCCGAGCAGGGCTGTGGGCAGCTGCAGCCACCGGGGTGCAGGCCCTTGCTCATCCTCTGTCTTCCTTTCTCTCTCGAGCCTCAGCGTTGTCCTCTGTGAAATGGGTACCATACTGCCCACCTCAGAGGGCTGTGGGGAAATGTCCTGAAAAAGATATGTGTCCACGGGAGCCTGCAGGGCAGGAGTTCAGGGACCACCTGGGGTTTGGTCTGGGGTGCACGGGGGCGGGGTGGGGGGAGACAGGGTGGTGGAGAGGCCGGAGCCTGCAGGCCTGTGCTCAGGGTTTATCCTGGGAGTGCTGGGGAGCCATGGAAGGTTTCAGTGGGAGTGTGGCGTGCTCCTGTTGACACCTGGGGAAGACAGATGGGAGGAGCAGGCCCCGGGGCTGAGATGGGCAGGAGGTGCCGTGTACAAGAGGGTGAGTCAGCATGCTGGGGCGCGGGGGCCTCGGAGCCCCACATCCCGAGGGTCACGAGGACCAAACAGGGCCCAGAGGATGTGCTCAGAAAGCAGTTTCTGTTTTGGGGGGAAGAACTTTGACACCGTCTGAGGGGCTGGAAGGGGGCAGCATGAGTAGGACCAGACAGGCACCTGGGGGAGGGTCACAAGCCTGCTCAGATCACACTGGCTGGGACCCCACAGTTCCTCCTGCCTCCCCGCTGCCGTCCCCAGACTCCCACCGCCCTCTAGCCCTCACCCCACAGGCGGTGACCAGCAGGAAGGCAGCGGAGGGGAAGACGGGGTGAGGAGGCTGGGAAGTGCCCGCAGGGGGCAGTTCCCTCCCAGCAGCTCTGGCTGGCCCTGGCAGGCATCGTGCAGTGGCCAGCGGGCTGCAGTGTCCCTTGCCTTGTCTCTGGCCTAGTTATGGATTTTTTTTATAAAACCTGTGCAAGGCAAACCCTAACAGGAAAGCCTTAGAAGCCAGTGTCTCCGGGCACCCCAGGGTCTGCGCACAGTGATGGTGGAGCCGCTGTTGAGCTGATTCCTGCAGCATCAGTGTCACTGAGGAGCCAGGCTCAGAGCACCTCTGGGGGCAGAGGGACGGAGGCGCCTCCCTACCATCCGCGGTGCCCCCCAGCCCTGGGTAGGAGGGTCTCCGTCCACTCTCAGCAGCGCCTCTTCAAGGAGGACAGTGGGGCTCAGAGAGGTGTAGTGACTTGCTCGGGGATGCCCAGCTAGTCCGGGAGGGGTCCCAAACCTGTGCTCTGTGAGGAGACCTCACTCGCGTGCCCCCAGTGCCTCAGTTTCCCCTCTGTTCCCAGATGAGTGCTCCAAGTCTCCGTAGATGGGTTTCCTGGGGCTGCCATAACAAATTACCACAAACTAGTTGGCTTAAAACAACAGGAATTTATTTTCCCACAGTTCTGGAGTCCAGAGGTGGAAGTCAAGGTGTCGGCAGGGCCGTGCTCCCTCCAGAGGCTCCAGGGAAGGCTCCTTCCTGCCTCTTTCAGGCTCTGGTGGCCCCGGGTGTTCCTTGGCTTGTGGCCAAATCACCCCATCTCTTCCTCTGCCTTCACAAGACCTCCTTCCTGGCGTCTCTCTGGGTCCCAATCTCCCTCTCCTTTCTCTTATAAAGACACCAGCCAATGGATGGAGGGGCCGCCCCCAACCCAGGCTCTCATCCGAGATCCCTAAATAATGACACCTGCCAAGATCCTATTTCCTATCCTAAGGTCACATTCTGAGGTTCCAACGGGAAATGAATTTGAGGGGGGGTCACAGTTCAACCCAGTCCAGTTCAGATGTGGGCCTCGCTCAGGTGCCCCTTTCCCTCTGCAGCCCCTGGGAACCCCGGCATCATTCCCGCCACTTGTGGGCTGCTCCAAGGTAAGGACCCGGCTGTCGTGGTGGCCACAGCATCTCTGTGCTCCGTCCAGAGTCTGGCTTGTTAAATTCCCCATGAGGGCGCAGCAACGCCACCACCACGATGACCCCACAGATGGGAAGGAGCGCGTGCTGGGTGACTCCTTTTAGGAAGTTCAAGAACAGTCAAAGCTAGTCGGGGAGGTGCTGGCCAGGTGGGGCTCCAGGGGGCTTCTAGGAGCTGGAAATGTTCGGTGTCAGCCACAGACGTAACTTTAACTGTTCCAGCGGCCTCATTGACACGGTAAAAATAAACCAGTGAAATCAATTTTAATAATATATCTTATTGAACCCATGAGTATGCCCCAAATATGATCATTTCAATATGTAATCAATATAAAAGTTACTGAGAAATTTTTAGGTTCTCCTTGCCCTCCAAACTAAGCCATCTGGCCCACCTACACTCCGTCAAGCTGCACCTGGCCCGCTCCCACCACAGGCCCATCCTGGGCTCCACAGGCTGACATCTCGGCTGGACACATCTCAACAGACACATACTTGTACTCAAGGTAGGTGCACTTTGTGTTGGAAGAAAGAGAGAAAGAGAAATAGACGCGGGGGGCGAGGGAGGGAGGAAGGAAGATGTTGTCCTTGAGTGACTGAGTCCCTGAGTCAGGAGGGGGGCTCTGGTGACCGACCAGGCACAGCCTTCGGGCCTCCCTTCCACAAAGGTGCAGAGTAATGGGGACCAGAGGCCCTGGAGGCTGTGGGGGGGCCATCCTTGGGGAAGCTCCCCTCCTCCAGGCAGCTGCCAGAGGCTGTGATTCCACAGGGCCCCCATCCAGCCCCTTATCTCCCTCAGCTGGTAGCCCATTGTCTTGGAAGGAAGGGAAGGGCAGAGGAAAGTCCCCGAGGCCCCTGCCCTGCCCCACCCTCCCCCAGGCTCCCCCACTCCACCCCACCACCACCCCACTCCACCCCCGCCATTCCAGCTTCCCCACCTGTCTCTGCCCTGGACTGGCCCCTGGAAGCCCCAGACCTCCTCCCAGGACAGCACGAAGATGAGTAGGGAGGACCCTGCATCACGTTAAACTGAAAGGAATTGCGTTCTTTAAAAACTGCACGCTTGGCATGAGTTTTCAAGATGAAGCGAGAAACAGAGAAGACCTCTTCCTTCCTCTCCCCTTTGCCCCTTCTTTCATTTCCCTTCTGGAACAGCTGAGTCCTAAAGCCACTGGCTGGGGCAGAGCAAGGTGGGTTTCCATGCACAGGGTGGAGAGGGCTCCCATGGTGGGGTGTGCAGGAGTTGGGTGGCCGGCTTGGGGACATGAAGCCAGGTGGCAGAGGGTGGTGGCTGTACCCTGCATTGACCCTGGAGGTGGCAGGAGGGGTTGGATTCTCATGTTCAGGAGAAAGAATCAAGAGGCCCCAGCAACGAGCCCGGGAAGTGGAGAGAGCAGGAGGGGGCTTCCTCCAGGAGGGCAGGGCCACTGACTGGCTGAGGACAAGGGGACAGCCCTGACCCCTCACCTGGAGATGTACCACACGCCTCAAGCTTGAATCCAGGGGTCCTGGCCAGTGTTCCCGCCACCCACCCACCCTCTCCCAAAACTTCAGAAGTGCCGTCAGCTTTGAAACAGTTTAAGGTGTTTCTGGGAAGCGTGAGGTCCTCAAGCCCACCCACACCCCTTGCTGGTCCTTGCTGGGCACTGGGAGGCCCTGCCCGGGCATGGCCCGAATGTCCCCTCACACCCACGCTTCCCGGGGCAGCCTGGACCCTCACCCCAGCTTGCCCTCGTGGCTCTTCACAGTGCTGCATGTCCACCCCTACTGTGTGCCTGGCACGGGCAGGGTCTCATCTAATCCTCACAGCTGTTACCAACCCATTTTACAGATAAGGAAAGTTTCAAGGAGGCAAAACTTGCCTGGGAGGTGGAGGTGGGAACAAAGCCTATACACGCTCTCTAGATACCACTGCCAGGTTTTCTTGCTCAAATCTCCTCCTCCAGACACGAAACCTTAAAACTAAATATGTGATTTGCATTTATGGCTTCATGATGTATCTGCTGGATCCTGCTGTTGTTTGGGATCGAGCACATCACTGATAAAGAAAATAAAATTCTGAACAAAGAATCTCGACTACATTAAAATGGCTCACGTTCTGACCATAAACAGTAAATAAATCAAATCCAATCCAATCCCCTCCCTCAGCCTGCAGGCGACCCTTCCCTGACTTAGCTGCTGAGTCTCAGGTGTGCAGGGAGGAAGGGGGGGAGGAGGCACCGATGATCACACCGTCCACAGCCCTCTCCCCCCTCTTCCCACACCTCATTATTTTTTTTTTCGGCTACTCCTGACTGCTGTGTGACTTGGCCCAGGCTACCTACCCTCTGTGAGCCTCAGTTTTCTCATCTGTAACAGCTTCACAATCAAGTAACTCGAAATCGGTGAGTCCACCCACCCCCACCTCAGCACGAAGGGCAGGGAGGGGAAACAGCGGCGTGACAGAGTGGCGGGGCCTAGAGGGTAAGTTCCTAGGTGGGAATGGAGCCGGGGCGGGGGGGCGGGGCGCGAGGTCTGGGTAGGGAGACCCGGGTTTTCCCAAAGCGGAACCCCCCAAGGCCTGAGTCAGCGCATCTGGGGCTCACAACAACCTCGACCGCAGTTACTATTACAACCCCCGGGCTGTGACTCAACCGGGCCGCCTCGGTCGGGGCGAGAGCGGGGCTTGCAACCTTGGGACCCAGGCCCTCCAAATTCCTTGCAGTCTGCGGTGGGGGTGGGCTGAGCGGGCCCCTTTCTTTGTGCGGGCGGGAGGGCGCGGTCTAGCGGAGATGGACCAATCCGGGGAGGCCCCAGCTCTGGGAAGCCAATGGCGGGGCTGTGGCCGGGACGTGGGCGGGGCCTGTGGAAGAGTGGGCGGGGCTCCTGCTACCTGCTGTAGTTGAGGTTCCTTTGGGGTCCTGCAGAGGCCGTCGGGTGCCCCAGGGGAGAAGGAGGGGCTGGGGAGAGGGGTGCCACGGGGGAAGGGGCCTGGGATCCAGCAGTGGGATCAGGGCGAGCAGAGGCCCCGCCCAGGATGGGGAAGCCCCTGACTCTGGGCGCGGCTAGGAAGGGGGCGCCCCGGGGTCCGCGAGGCCCTGCAGAGCCACGCCCGGACCGCCCCAGCGGATCCCGCGCCCCCCGGGTCCCTCCTCCCTTTGCAACTCCTGCTACCCGATTACTTCCCGAACCGGCTGAGTCCCGAGACGGCCCTTCCCGTCCCCTTCCGCGAGTAGCCTCCCCTCCCCCCTGGTTTCCTGCTGGCGGAGGCGGCAGTTAGAGCAGTAGGAGGGGAGCTTGGAGGCTTCTGGTAGGGCCTGAGTGGCTTCGTTCTGGATGTGGTTTCCGGAGTCCTGGGGTTGGAGCCCCCTCATCAAGGTCCTCCAGCTGCATCCTCACCCAGAGCCCCTTCCGCCCTCCACACCTGAGCTACTGCACCCGCTGCCAGCCAGACAGTCCCCAAGCCTGGATGATTACACCAGCCGCAACCGCCTAAGGGATTTCCTTGTCAATCTCCTCTTTTCCCTCCATTGTTCTTCCTCGGGCTCCTTCCCCACATCCATCCCTCCCCTTCTTTTTAGGGACAGTCCAGGTGTTCATTCCACTCTCTGCTCGTTCTCTCAACTCCTGAGCCTTGGGCCAACCCCTACTCTCACCTCCCCATCCAGGTCACCTCCCCATCCAGGTCATCATTACTCCAGGGATGGGCCTGTGACCTAAACTGCCCAATCTGGAGAGCCCTCGGGGCATGCTTGGCACCCTGGCCCAGAGCACTGCTGTTCTACTCCAAGTCACTATGGCCTATGCATGTGCCACCTGGACCTGCAGCAAGCATTTGGCCACCCGGTACACAGAGCTGACCCATGGAGACAGTGCTCTAAGACAGTGCTTAGAGAGACAGAAATCGAGCCAGAGCCCTGATCATACCATACCTCACATCCCATTACCTCTAGACAGCTACAGAACCTCACATCCCATTACCTCTAGACAGCTACAGAAGCCAGTATTTGTTGTTCTAGACAAGGTACGTTGGTATTTTCCATTTCTTGCAACATGAAGACCTAGAAATGAAGCCCACAGAAGGACTGCATTATGTGTACGGGGCCCACCTAAGGATTATCTAATTCTCCAGGAAACTTGTTTGCCTTGCTATTTACTTTTTGTTTTTTTAAGATTTATTTATTATTCATTTAATTATTTTTGGCTGCGTCGGGTCTTAGTTGTGGCACGCGGGCTTCTCTCTAGTTGTAGCCTGCGGGTTGTTTTCTCTTCTCTAGTTGTGGTGCACAAGCTCCAAGGTGCGTGGGCTCTGTAGTTGTGGCGCGCGGGTTCCAGAGCGCTTGGGCTCTGTAGTTTGCGGCAGGCAGGCTCTAGTTGAGATGCGTGAGCTCAGTAGTTGTGGTGCACGGGCTGAGTCAGCTCCCTGACCAGGGATCGAACCTGGAGTCCCCTGCATTGTAAGGCGGATTCTTTGCCACTGGACCACCAGGGTAGTCCCCCTTGCTATTTACTTTTCTTTTTTAATATATAAATTTATTTTATTTATTTATTTTTGGCTGCATTGAGTCTGTTGCTGCGCGTGGGCTTTCTCTAGTTGTGGTGAGCGGGAGCTACTCTTCTTTGCGGCATGTGGGCTTCTCACTGCGGTGGCTTCTCTTGTTGCGGAGCATGGGCTCTAGGTACACGGGCTTCAGTAGTTGCAGCACGCAGGCTCAGTAGTTGTGGCTTGCGGGCTCTAGAGCACAGGTTCAGTAGTTGTAGCATGAGAACTTCAGTAGTTGTGGCGTGCAGACTCAGTAGTTGTGGCTTGTGGGCTCTAGAGCGCAGGCTCAGTAGTTGTGGCACACGGGCTTAGCTGCTCCGCGGCATGTGGGATCTTCCAGGACCAGGGATCGAACCGGTGTCCCCTGCATTGGCAGGCGGATTCTTAACCACTGCACCACCAGGGAAGTCCGTACTTTTTTATTTATATATAAATTTTATTTATTTATTTTTGGCTGTGTCGGGTCTTCATTGCGCACGGGATTTCTCTAGTTGCGGCGAGCAGGGGCTACTCTTCGTTGCGGTGTGCGGGCCTCTCATCGTGGTGGCTTCTCTTGTTTTGGAGCGTGAGCTCTAGGTGCGCGGGAAGCCCTGAGCCTTTATTTAAAAGTAAACAGCAAGGGCTTCCTTGGTGGCGCAGTGGTTAAGAATCTTCCTGCCAATGCAAGGGGCACAGCTTCAAGCCCTGGTCCGGGAAGATCCCACATGCCGCAAAGCAACTAAGCCCACGAGCCACAACTACTGAGCCCATGTGCCACAACTACTGCAGCCTGCACGCCTACAGCCCGCGGTCTGCAACAAGAGAAGCCACCGCAATGAGAAGCCCGCGCACTGCAACGAAGAGTAGCCCCCACTCGCCGCAACTAGAGAAAGCCCGTGCGCAGCAACAAAGACCCAATGCAGCCAAAAATAAAAATAAATTTATATTAACAAATAAATAAAAAATAAGTAAGGGCTCAAACTTGAAGTTACAGGTTAACTTGTGGACTTGTGTCTGAGATGAAAGATAACACCAAAGGTTAACTCTTGGTTGCCCAAAAGGACATGAGTCAGGTTTGGGCAGCTTTTGAAATCAAATTTAGGCATCTTATCCTAGCACTTTTAATGGACTGTATAAACCCCAGTTCCACAAATGCTCTTCGCGTGAATTTTACCCCCTTACTGTTCCCTCATTAATTAATGAGTTGAACTAAATCTCTCACAAATGTTCATGTTCTAATTATGTGAGAGTCATGATCTTAGCTTTTCAAAAATCATGCTTTGACACCTGCCTCCCAGAACAGGGCCTTTCTATCTCCCGACCTTGATCAAGTCTG